TCGCTTATCTTGCACAATGTCGCAGATCGCAATCTATGTCAAATGCCATTGTTTTTCCTCTGAAACTTGATGGTCCATCTAATTATCGAGAGTGGGCTTTCTCTGTCAAAACTGTACTGCGTGGACATGGCCTTGCATCTCATCTCGACAGATGATCCTCCAACCGACAAGTCGGAGGATGGTTCTGGTCTTGCTGCCGTCCACGACTTGGACTAAGGATGATGGCGAATCATGAGTGCCATAGTCACCAGCATGAAACCCTCACTAATGATGAGCCTTGAGCACCATCAATCTGCTAAGGAGATGTGGGACTACTTGCAGGGGAGATATGTTCAGAACAGTGGTGCACTTTTGCTTACTCTAATGCAAGGACTTCATGATCTTCAGCAGAATGAGATGTCTATCGAGGAGTATTATACTGCTTTTGATCGTCGATGGGACCTTTTCTTTCCATGGTTCCTAAGTGTGAGACAGGGTGCTCAGGCTGCTGTGATAAGAAGAATAAGTTCATTGAAAAATTCCTTATATATCAGTTTTGCCATGGTTTGCGGCCTGATTTTGAGTCCAGTCGTAAACAGTTGTTAAATGCTTCCACCACTCCGTCTATTTCTGATGTGTTGTCCGCCTTGATTGCTGAGGAGACACGACTTAATTCTCAGTCTCCTGTATCAGTACTCACACAGTGTTCGGCAGCCTCTCACAAGACCAATACAGTGAAGGGCAACTCTTTTTCGCCTTGTGTTCATTGCAAGAAGACTACTCACCGTTCAGAAAATTGCTTTGTTCGGTATCCTGAGAAGTTAATTGCTTATCGCTCACGCCATCCCAAGCAGAGTGGTCGTGGCGCCGGTTCCACCCCTACAGGCTCTGTGCCTGCAGGTTCCACCCCTACAGGATCTGTGTGACAGTCCGCTTCAGCTTCATGCTTACTCGGACTCCATTTGGGCGAGTGACCCAACAGATCGTTGCTCTATCACAGGGTACTGTATTCTTCTTGGATCCTCTCCTATTGCATGGAAGTCCAAGAAACAAGCTGTTGTATCTCGTTCTAGTGCAGAGGCAGAACTTCGAGCACTTGCCACCACTACTGCAGAAATCGTATGGCTTCGATGGTTGTTGACTGATTTCGGAATTTCTTGTGATGCTGCCACACCTCTTCTATGCGATAATACAGGAGCTATACAGATTGCCAATGATCCTGTGAAGCATGAACTTACCAAGCATATTGGCGTCGATGCTTTCTTCACTCGCTCTCATTGTAATCAGCATACCATTGCTCTTCAATATGTGCCATCCGAGCTGCAATTAGCTGACTTCTTCACTAAAGCGCAAACTAGAGAGCAACATCGGCTTCATTTGCTCAAACTCAATGCTTCAGATCCTCCATTTCCACCTTGAGTTTGAAGGGGGGTGTTAAGTGTGAAGATCCTATCTAATAGGCCTATATGCCTATATATAGCCATGAGGCTATCTATATATAGCGACTCCTTCACCTGTGGAGATTATCTTCTGAAAATCCCCAGGTTAGTATCACAAATAACAAGGATTTTTTCTGAATTCTTCTTTCATTTCTGTCAGCCGAACTGTGAGCGCTGTAACCTAACCTTGAATAGTTATTGGACGTGATATACTATGGTTAAACCTCATGGCAATCAGAGATCAATGGCAGGGATGGAAACTTAAGGAGGAGAACATCACGAATGCAGCTGTAATCGTACTATATATTAACATTGAAAGTACCCGTGTCATATATTGCTATATGCTGTATGGTGCAAATGTTTCAAAAGAAAGTAGATGCACTTATGGAAAAGAAGGCGAAAATGAAACTTTAACAACAGAGCTGCAGACCTTATTTTAGGCATAAGCAGATAAGCTCTACTCCTATTGAGAACGGAACTTTGCCAAACTTTAATAATTTAATTAATACCAAATCTAGGAGGTCATATATGCAACATGCACACTGGATGAGCCAGGTTACTGCACAATTTTAGGCCTGATTTACATACGGCGAGTGTAATTGATTTCAGTATCAATATTATGCCCTCCTCCAATAATAAACTTAGGGCTGTACTTATGAGGTTTCAAACACAAAATAAAACACAACGGTACACCATGTTCGCTTGATCGTTTCTGTGGCTTATAAGCCGGCTGATACTATTTTGTTGTGAGAGAAAAACACTGTATCATGGCTGATAAGCATGGCTGATACGATCAAGCGAATGCCGCGTTGCAAGCACAAAAAATGATCAACTAACATGGACAACGAGAGCTTCTACTAACAAATAAGCACCAAAAAGCTAGGCACCATAAGATAGAGCATGATTTTAGAAGAAGAAAAAAAATCCAAAACTTACTCTTAATTTTCGAGGTAAAACAAACTTTATATGGATTTTCTAAGATTAAATCAAATTAAAGGATTTTTAATTGTATTATTTTTGCATGTAAAAATATTTTTATATATTTTTTTTAAAAAATGATTTTTATGAATTTTTGGATTCTATTCCAAATATTGGGATTTTCTATATTTCAGGTGCTTGAAATATAGACTTCACGTGTACACTATACAAACATCACAAAATACATCATAAAACATTACATGTATACTACATGAACATCACCGCACGTTGCCTGAACAGCAAATACAAATTCAGACGACTGTCGTATGTACGTGAACATCGCAAAATACATCATAGAATATCATATGTATACTACATAAATATCGTAAAATTTATCATAAAACATCACCTGAACAATAGTCTGATTTATCTCCTTAAACTTTTAACTTAGACCGGGTCAATAATGCAGTGATTCGGCTACGGAGAAACTTTTAACTTAGAAGCCAGCTGCCGTGACTGGCCCTACCATGTAGTAGTAGTATCCCATGATCCCAGTGACCAGGCCGCCACAATTGGCAATGGCGTCTGATATGTCGAAAAAGGGTTCAGGTAATCATTCTCTTGGTCACCATCGGTGAATGCCGACAAGGCATATTATTTGTTTACTGCATGTTGCAACTTTAATTGAAGGACGGCCACAACAACGATCAGGAAAAGCACGGTGAGGATACATAGCATCCGTTGGAGGGGAGAATGAGAAGGCACGCCGCCAGTGCTAGGAGTAACCATGAGATGCAGACCAAGGCATTGCCCCAATTTGGCAGTTTAATGAAGAGTACTGCATCGATGATGATGAAGACCACCATAATTTGGCCCACAATAGCTTACTGCCTTGCTCTTGGTCTGCGCCTCTGCCTCATGCTCTGCTTTTGCTTCTGCCTCATGCATGCTTGGCAGCTTGTAGGGGCGGCTCATTTTCCAGACGTCCCAACAAATCCTCAGCCGTCCCTATAAAACGATTTCTAGGGATGGCTTGACAATCGCCCGTACAAAACATTGATTTGTAGAGGCACTTGTATACCGGCGGCTGGGCAAACCACCTCTATAAATCATCAGGAACCATCCCCTATAAAAATTTCTGTCGTAGTGAATTAACGCAAGATATATAGTGGCAAGTATAGGATTAACAGAGGGGTTGCAAGCTAGGCATTTATTTTTCAATCGTCATGCATTTCTTCTTGATTTTTCTAAATGGCCCACGCCACACAAGCAAAGAGGTACGTACAAACCTATTTTCTTAGGGGCACCCAAATCACATGCATTGGCTATAGATGTACATGCAGCCCGCAGTCCTTTGGCATAGCACGAAGCCCGCTATTTCAGCTTGGCATGAGCACAACATGACCTGATGTTTCACGGGCCCGGGCCAGCATAGCCCGATGCATAGGGCCGTGCCTGGGCCGCTACTTAGGCACGATGGGCGGCACAGCCCGGCCCGCAATTTAGCAATCGGCCCGGCGGCCCGGTGCAAGCCATGGCCTGCTAAAGGCCCATCGCCCATCGCCCCTAACCCTAACTTCCCCCTCCCCACGCACAGGCGCAGACCCCTCTCCGTACCCGCGCCACACTCACAGAGTGGCGCACTTGCTTCCCACGCGCTCGTGGTCGCCCTGCTCGCCTCCTTCCTTCCGACTTCCGACCTCTACACGGACGCTCCCTGGAAGCTCCTCTCGCTCTCACCGCGGGGTGCGCCGCTGCCGCTAGGAGCTCGTCACCTCTGCACGGCCGCTCCCTTGAAGCGCCACTGCCCGCCAGGGGCTCAACTCCCCGCGGTCGCGCCTGGAAGCGCCGCCACCTGCTGTGGAATCGGCCTCGACCGCCGTGGCTTCCTAGGGAGCAAGCGCGCTGGCCTCGGGGGCGTCGATCAACCCCGAGCTCCACCTGCTCCCTTCTCTCGCTCACCCCGACGGATCCGGCGTCAAGCACCCCGGCTGCCTCCTTCCCCCTCTCTCCGGCTTCTCCACGGCATCCAGTGGGCCTTAGGGCGGTCCGCCCGCTGGCCATGGCATGCTTTTTCGGGCTAGCCCGGCATAAAAACGGCCCGCCAGGCCATGCCTGGGCTGTCGCTTAGGCCCATGGCCCTAAGAGGCGGGCCCGTGCCGTGCAGGGCCAGCCCGTTGGGCATCTATACACAGCGCAGCAACACGTGTTGTGCTTGAGCGCAGAAGGGGTCTACCTAGTAGAAAACTCGGTCGAGCCAACCGTCTGATCTTGGCATTGCCGCTCGTACTCTTCGTAATTACAACAAAAGAGGCTTCTTCAGTTCACTAAATATATATATTCTGAACCGGCAGACAAAACAAAGCTAACCATCACACATATGCTTATACTACTTTATTTTATAAAAAGCTGACAAAACAAAGCTAACCATCACGATACTAGCTACAGTGCTTTTATAAAAAAGCTGGTACCTTGCTCAGTCAATAAATAAATGTACAATGTATTCTGAACTGGCAGGCGAAGCAAAGCTACCCAGCACTTGTCCCTCACACGGCCTCTATATAAGTTAGGCATGCATATATAGAATGATGCATCATCGCCACAGGAAGCAAGCCGCAGTGCACAAGAACACATAGTGCAAGCAATACTAGCGGTGATAGATAGATGGCCATGTCGTTGAGCTCCTGCACCACCCTCCTGATGACCCGGGCGGCCGCGCCGGCGCCAAGGCCCACGCCAACGCCAACGCCAACGCCAACGCCGGGGAAATCCTCTCCCGGCGCCGGATCACTGCAGCTCCGCAGCAGACAACCGGCGGCGGCTTCGTCAGTAGAGGCTCTGCGCTGGGCCTCCTCATCATGCAAGGAGTCCCGGTCCCGGCGGGCTTCTCTCTTCGCGTGCCATGCGCTAAATAAGTACTCGTACCACATCGAACCCGCTGGTAAGTGGTAAGCTGTATGTAGTGCCACGCTAAATAAATTTATACTAAATAAAGCCGAACTTCATTTATTGATTGATCGACAATTGTACATACTGCTAGTAATTAATGTAATAAATTGATTTTGGAATTTATTTGGAATGAATTGGAAGCCCTGGTGTACCGGCCTACAACTACATCAGCGGGCACCAATTGGAGAATCTGGGAAGACAAGGACAAGGACCTCATCATCCTGGAGCTGGAGGTAGGAGAATTGGCCCAGGATAAACTGGAGGTTTCAACAACGGACCACGTGCTCCTGGTCGTCAAGTACAAGGGCGACATCAACGACGAGTGGCGGGCGAGCTCGCTGGACGTCCGCCTGCTCATGCCTCCTGGCTACGACGAGAAGAATGTGGGCGCGATGATGCTGTCCAAAGGCTGGCTTCAGATTACCATCCCCAAGCCCAAGCACGAGCCCAATAAGATACAAATCTCGTAGGCGCCCCCGACCCCGACGACCCAGACCTAGTAGTAGTCATCACTACTCTACTCCTCCTAATATATACTCCCTCTCTCTGACGTAAGACAACTTTAAAAATCTATTTACAGAAGAATAGAGAGAGTATATATGTACGGATACCTGTGCTTTCTAGCTTATTTATCAGATTCTGCTCTGCATGCATGTGCTAATAATGTACTTACAATACAAGCAGTATATATATATTCGCGTACGTAGTACGCGTAGCTGCTTTTACTGGATCTTGGTATAGACAACCAGTGAATAAAGTAACTACTATAATAATCTTGTACTCTGTCGTTTAATAATCATAACACATCTTCTAGTGCCTGCCTCATTGCGTGCGTCAACTGGATCTTGGAATATATATTAGGCAATTACATGAATATAAGAATATAAATCACGACATGACACATGCCTGTTCTCGGTACTACTAATGATATAATAAAGCATGTTATGGTCTTACTATTACTAACTGTTTAACGCAAAATATGGACAAAACAAAATTGACTCCAGAATCACTATGCCACAACCAATCTATTATTACGATGAACGACGGTCGCTAAAATATAATATTAACGATCAACAATCGGACGCTATAAATTCCTAACAGATCATCCGTGCTATTTTTACTTATATAGCTACAGTAAATCAGTCGCTACATATATTTAGTTGTTTCCTCGAACTATCGGTTGGTAAAAACGCATATTAGAGTCAGACGACCATCGGTCGGAATAGCACATTGCACGCCCCGCCCAGCCCACTCACGTGTGCAGTGAAATTTACGCCCAGCCCAGCCCACTCACGTCTTGCGACCGATTTAGAGTCGCTATAGATTGGCTGTGGTATAGTGAATTGTTAGCAGATTTAGCATATACCTAGCAGAAATATATAGCCACCAATTAACACAAAATACTACTACAGATATGACTTTCACTGTCGGCTGCATCACTGTCGGATTTTAAGAAACCGATAGCGATAGCACATCATTGCTGGTTTTTTGCTAAAACCGGCAGTGATAGGACCAACCGACACTGATATTCGGGTCTTCACTGTCGGTTCATATCACTGTCGGTTTTAGCCAAGAACCGGCAGTGATATTGGGTCATCACTGTCGGTTTTACCACACTGATATTATCACTGTTGGTGGTTCTTGGCTTAAACCGATAGTGATATGCTACAAGAAAACTTCATAACTTTCTCATATGATGTCCGATGAAGACGAACTTTATATCAAAGTTGTAGTACTCGACGAGATCTACAACTTTATAATTTAAGATTTTTTGATTTAAGACTGTTTGAATGTCCAAATATACACCACAAGATTTTATAGAGTTAATACCAAAGGAGTACCATATGCTCCATAGTCATAATTGAGTGTGGAGTGGTAGTTAAGGATCTCGGATGCAGAAGTGCCCAAAACAAAAGTTGTAGATCTCAAAATGCTATACAACTTTTTAGTTCACAACTTTTTTGTTTGAAGTCGTTATGATGTCCCTCTATTTGATTGGCAAGATTTCATATAAGTTAACACCAACTAAGGCCATATGTTCCATAGTCATAAGTGAGTGTGTAGTGATATTTAAGGATCTCGGATGAAGAAGTGAATAAAACAAAAGTTGTAGATCTAAAAAAGTTATGCAACTTTGAAGTTGACAATATTTTCGTTTGAAATCATCTATCTAACAAAAATCACGTTTGATTTCTAAAATTTAAAATTCGATTTTTCAAATGACCTCGGATGGAGAAACGTCCAAAATAAAAGTTGTAGATCTTGAAAAGTTATGCAACTTTGTAGTTGACAACTTTTTCACTTGAAATCATTTATGTAGTGTAAAATACGGTTGAATTTTCTTAAATTTGAAATTCAAATTCTTTAAATGACCTTGGATGGAGAAATGACCAAAACCAAAGTTGTAGATCTCGAAAAGTTAAAAAACTTTGTAGTTGACAACTTTTTCATTTGAATTCGTTTATGGTCCCAAATACTCATTTCAAAATCAGATGAACATAAAATGGCTAGGACAAAAATCTCATTTGGACAAAAGATTCTTACAGGTGGAGTGGTTAGGGGACGAACATGCGAAGCAGGTGGTTGGTGGCCGCGAAGCGTGTGTTTTTCGTGCAAAAAATCTTGTGACTTGTGACTTGTGACTTACGATGTGCGGCTGTGTGGCTGTCCAGTGGGATCTCTCCCGATATTAAAAAATATTTTTCCCTATTTTTTCAGCCTATTTTTTGAGTTTTCTGAAAACCATATCACTGTCGGTTTTTTAGAACCGGTAGTGATGAGCCCCCCTCGTCACTGCTGGTATGCCACTGTCGGTTCAAATCTGACAGTGAAGGGAGGTTTTGAACCGACAGTGATGTGAAGAACCGGGGTAGTCGAAGATAGTGACAAGTATAAGATTTTCAGAGGGGTTGCAAGGCATCTTTTTTCAATCGCCATTTCTTCTGGATTTTCCAAATGGCCCACGCCACACAAGCAAAGAGGTACAAACCTATTTTCTTAGGGCCACCAAAATCACATGCATTAGCACAGCAGCAACGTGTGCTGTGCTTGAACGCAATATAGATTCTGAACCGGCAGACAAAGCAAAGCTAACCATCACATATGCTTATACTTTTACAAAAGCATGGAGCAGCTTGTTCAGTTCACTAAAATTATATTCTGAACTAGCTGGCGAAGCAAAGCTACACAGCACTTGTCCCCTACACGGCCTCTATGTAGGGCAAGCAAGCATAGACGATCGAGCACAAGAACATAAGTGCAGTACACACCGTCGTCCTTGTAGTAGCTAGCGCTAGCAGTTAGATGGCGATGTTGAGCTCCTGCACCACCCTCCTGAGCCGGGCGCCGCCGGCACCGGGAAAATCCTCTCCCGCCGCCGCACTGCAGCTCCGCAGCAGACAACCGGCGGCGGCGTCAGTAGCGGCTCTGCGTTGGGCCTCACGCAAGGAGTCCCGGTCCCGGGCTGCTCTCTTCGCGTGCCATGCGCAGAAGTACAACATCGAACCCAGTGGTAAGCTGTAGGCCTGTAGCTGGTGTACACGCACGTACCTACTACGTACGTACGTGTACTACGTTAATATAAATATATATTTTTTCGAAAAAGAAACTTACTTCATTAATTTATCGATCGACAAATACATACAGTAGTTCCTACATAATGCAAGTATGTGACATGTTTTGTTTGAAAGAAGTATGTGACATGTTAAGCGCATAGAGTTAAATGCATGATATTGCAAAAAAAAAAAAGAGTTCAATGTATGAGAGGTCTATTTACTTACATGTAGTTTCAGTCTATCAACTTTTAAAAGTGTATTTTTTATCTATAAACTTTTTAATTGATTTAACGTAGATTCATATCTCTTCATTTACCCCCTAGATTTAACTTCGGTCCATAAACTTTTTAAGTGGTTCACCAAAGGTTCATACCCCTCCATTTGGCTCTTAGGTCTGACGTGACATGTAGAGTCAGTGGTCAACATGGTATAAAATTTACAGAGCTCATGCTTGTCCCCCCCCCCCACCCGCGCTGCCTTCCTTTCCATGTACGCTCTCAAGCCCGCCATCTATGCCTCTGCTCTATCTTTGCTCCAGTTCTCGCCACCACTGTTACCAGTCACCGAGCTCTTCGTTGTTCCTCGCCTTCCGCTTCACCTATGTCCTAGAAATCGGGTTTATTGAGTCCATCACTGCATCATCTACCTTTTGCACTCATTGGACACCTAGCCCACCGTACAACAGTTGCCATGGTCGAGATTTGAGCTTGTGTGCACCGTCGTTCCCGTCGGCGTAGGCCATCACTACTTCACCACATGCGTGTTGAGTCTGTTGTGGTCGCCTCGTCCTAATGCGCACGTATTTGGGGCAAGTCTATGTTACAACCACCATTTCTGCCACCGTACGTCTTCTACCTTCTACCCACCGTCGACCGATGGACGGGCACGCTCGTGCCCGACCGCTGCTAGCATCCATCGGGTGAATTAAAACCACCCACGCACGGATGTGCTGGAGATTGGTGAAGCTCACGATTCCATCCATTATTTTCGTTCATGAGTGTCCCTTGGCTGAATTGGCCCCTCACCACCATATATGTGCCGATGTTGATTTGGGGAAGAAAGAAGAGGAAGGATATGACTCGTGGGACACACACGCCGCCACATATCCGCCATGCGCCACCGGACCTTAATTGCACGCAACTATCCCCTGCTCCAGTGGTGCTTGTTTGGTTCTTGCGCTCACCACCTGTGTGTCGTACGCTACCGGCGAGAGGGAATGGAGCAAGAAAGGTGAAGGCAAGGTGATTAGCTAATTGTAAATTTCTTGTCATGCGGCTGATTTCACATACCACGTTAGATCTAGGGCCAAACGAGGATGTATGTACCTGCGGTGAACCATTAAAAAGTATATAAACTCAAATGCTGAATCTAAGCATCAAATGGGTATATGGATGAACTACTTGATGGGCTTGGAAATCGACTTTTAGAGACCTAACCGAAACTTCCGCTTTGGTTAATGGATATACTATGCATATTTAAATATTCTTGTAAGCATATACCAATTACCAACACACACACTAAGTTGTACTAAAGTAATTTGATTTTGAAATTTGCAAAGCCCTGGTGCACCCTCGCGCATTTGACGGCAGCGACTGGAGTCTCGGGGAAGATAAGAACCGCATCATCCTCAGCCTCAACGTGGGAGAGTCCACGACCGAGAAAGACCTGGAGGTTGCAACAACGGAGGACCAGACCCTCCTGGTCATCAGGTACAATAAGAAGGAGGACCAGAGCAGCAGCAGCAGCCCGGCGAGCTCGCTGGACGTCCGCCTGCTGATGCCTCCCGGCTACGACAGTAATAAGATGCAGGCGATCATGTGGAATACGGGCTGGCTAGAGATTTCTATCCCCAAGCCTAAGCACGAACGCAAAACGATACCTATCACGCCATCGACAAAGACCCAGACAACCCCGACCTCGTGATCGATCATTTCAGTATGTATGGATATAGATGTGTGTGTGTGTGTGTGTGTACGTGCGCCTTCTCTGCTTCTGTTCTGCATGTGCTAATAAATGTACTTACAAGCAGCATATACGTGTAGCTGCTTTAACAGTCTTGTACCCTAATGTGATGTTTAATCATACATCTCCTACTATGCCAAGCCTCATTTCGCATCAACTGGATGTCGGAATACTGTCTACGCAGTTGTGCATGATTAGATATCAAATTTGAATCACCACAGAAGGTGATACATTTGTGTTTCTACCACTAATGGAATAAAGCATGCTATCTTACTATTACTAACTGACGTCTATAGTGGAGTCAACACGTTAATTCTCGCGAGATATGTTAGAAAACAGAAGGAAAATGCAAGAAATTCTCATAAATCAGAAACTATAATCATTATCGCCAATAAACATGCATTGGACTTATTTTGTTTTATAAAAAAATCATACATCTTTGCCATCACAAAATATTCATAAAATTACCCTCTAAATTTACATCTAAATTACCTAGCTCTTTTGCTATGAACAGTTAATTTAAAATATCCCAACTCTGCCATAATGAATACCTATTTTTTTTAAAAAAAAACCTACACATGTTTTTACGAAAGATAAAATAATCCATTTAATTTTCATATCAATGACCCCTCTTTAACTATAAAAAAATTGAGATACCCTTCAAGTCTACGTCTAGATACCAATATGATCTAATATGAGAAATAATTCTATAACCATAAAGTATGTAATTTATATTTCTAAATTACACACTTCCACTAGTGTTCAGTTAAAATTAAGCATAAATGTTATGTGCCACCGTGTAGACCAAGTAAACAAGTGCGCAAGGAAAAAAGTATGTTAATAATTTATCAATTATAGGAAAATATTCTCTTAACAAACCATGCAGCATTGACACTGAAGGTTTAATTTAAATATATATTAATAATCAATGTCAATAAATTTTGTGGGTACGTTAAAAATAGAAGCAACTGTAAAGTTATATTGTAAATAGTATGTAAGAATCAATTGACATGTGATTTTTTTTTGGGTAAATGAAAATTCAAATATGACCGAAATTAAAAAATTGTCTTCAGTGACTAACCGTTTTTAACAAACCGACACAACTCGATCCTGACCACGTGTGGCTACATCCTTCCTCCGGTACTCCTATCCCCCACACGAGCACCCTTCCCGGCACGTCCCTCTCCCTTTTGCGCGATTGCCAATTTGCCATGGTGTGGCCTCCTCCTCATCCGCACAGCTTTCCCTGGCTTCTCCTGACCCTTTCTATGTGGCCTCATTCTCCCCGGCGCGACTTCTCGTGGCTTTGATTTGAGAGTTATTGTTGGAGTTCAGTCTAGGAAATAAATGGCACCCTCAAAAATAAAAGATACGTTTAAATCCCAAGTTAAGGTCCTATTTTAGGAGCCAAAGTTGCTCGTCTACTCCCGTGTGGCATGTTTGACAGGTTATTAAACCGTGAAGATAATATAATAAAGTGTTAAATTAAGTAAGTATGTACTGCCTTGCCCAAAATAAATACACACCTTGCTTTTGATGAGTTAAATAATTTTAAATTTAACTAAATATATAAATATTCATGATACTAAATAAGCGTTAGTATATTAATTAATCATGTTGTATGCTTTCATACGAAATATATTTGGATATATGAATGGGGATACTTTTTTATAAATTTAATTAAAATTAAAATTAGTTGGCTTCTTGGAAATACGATAGGTGCATTTAGTGTGGTATACCCCATTGAGAAGGTTTGTAAGGTTATGTTTAGTTCGCGAAATGAAAATATTTGATGTCATATCGGATGTTTCGGGATGTCGGAAGGGATTTTCGGATACTAATAAAAAAAATTAATTACATAGCTCGCCTGAAAACTGCGAGACGAATTTATTAAGCCTAATTAATTCATCATTAGCGCATGTTAGTTACTGTAGCACTTATGGCTAATCATGGATTAATTAGTCTTAAAACATTCGTCTCGCGATTTCCAACCAAATTATGCAATTAGTTTTTTTTAGCCTATATTTAATACTCTATACATGTATCACAAGATTCGATGTGATAATTTGAGATAAAAATTTTTTGGAACTAAATCAAGCCTAACTACACTCGAATCCACGGGAGGTTTGGTAAAGAAAGCAAGCAGCCATTCGGTCCATCATGTAGGAGGCCGCGCAGGACGTGAAAAAGCCCGTGTCGCCTCTTTTCGCGCGTCCCACCAAGTGGACCCTATGTTGCGTACCTCCCTCCATCACGCTCGTCTTCAGGCCCCAGGCGGCCGCATGGCAACCCACGGTGCGCCCCAGCAGCTGCCGCTATGGCAGGTGGGTCTTATTATAACACCCGATCAACTTTTGCTACATTTAGATGAAACACTAGAAACATATGTTCAAAATAGTTGAACACTCGTAAACACATATTTTTTTTAAAATACGTGTGTAACCATTGCAAACATATGCAAACATCCAGATGAAATACTTGCAACATACATATGAAAACACATAAAAATACTTGCATAATATGCAACATCCAGATCTACTTTTGCATTATCCAGATTAAACACTTGCAACGTATGTCTAAAACAGATGAAATATTTGAACCATACACACACTTGAAACATACGTGTATAGCCATTACAACATGTGCAATATCCTAATCTACTTTTATAACATCGATATAAAATAATTGCAACGTACCTCTGAAATATCTAAATAAAATATATGCTTGCAGCATGTCACGCATAGCTCCATGGCACGGACATGAGCGAGTGTCGCGGCGCGCGGATGGGAGCTCGCGCTTACTGGGCGCGTGACGAACTGGAGCGAGCGGAAGCGCACCGTCCGGACGGTCGGACGCCGTGAGAAGAGCATTACCGATTATTAGGCAAGCACGCATTAACTCATGATGTTGAAGCCATGAATGAACTAGCGTGAGCGGAAGCGGAAGCAGAGCGCGCGGAACAAGAGACTATCAGAAGGCCGAAGCGGTGTCCTTGTCCTCCCTCCCGGCTCATTGGGCTTAATCGTAGCGATAAGTGCAAGGGTGTTGTGTCAGTGAGTTGGGCTTCACTTTGCGGATTGAAGAGATGGGCCTCTGGCCAACACAGTAACACTCGCGGTTTTTGGGCTTTGATGCCTATTAGGCTAAGCAGGCCGGTGTCGTTGTTTATTTGTGCTCAGCCATATTGACTCTGAACCTATAAGAAAAGAACCGCACTATGCTGTTCAAAAAACTTCTCCGTCGAAGCACGAAACACGCATGACGCATCACGTGACACGGACGTTAAAACTCTCCAAAGACCAATAAAAAAAAGGACATATATTTTTGAATTTTTCTGAGGCTGGAAACTGCCCACAGGAATCCACAGGGAGGCGGAGCTGTCCATGGTTTCACTAGGCTCGTCCCAATCGCCCTTGTTTAAATCAAGGGTAAGTTTTGAGGTGTTATATCGCGTGTCATATAGATGTTGTATGGGGGTATTCGAATATTAATAAAAAAATAAATTATAGAATTCATCAGTAAATCGCGAGACGAATTTATTAAGTCCAATTAATCTGTCATTAGCATATGTGTACTGTAGCACCATATTGTCAAATCATAGACTAATTAGGCCTAAAAGATTCGTCTTTTAAAGTAGTCGCAATCTGTACAATTAGTTATTTTTTTAGTTTATATTTAATACTCCATGGGTCCAAACATTAGGTGAGGTAGGTAGGGATGAAAACGGATCGGATACGAACGGATATCACTCATATTATATTTGTTTTTATATTTCTGTTCGGATTCGGACACGGATAGCGTTCGGATACATATACGAACACGGATTGACTCGGTTACGGATACGAATAATGAGTATCGAATACGGTATGAATCGGATTCGGAGAAGGTCAGATACAAATATCTATTCGGATATTGAGTAAAAGCAGCATATATATATATATATATATATATATATATATATATATATATATATATATATATATATATATATATCATACGTGCGTAAACCATTACACCACTCTATGAGTCCATAATCCATCTAGATTAAGCCGAAAGACTAAAGAGTAAAGCAACAAATAAGATAAAGATACAGATACATCATACATCAAACATCATACAAACACCAATCTTCGCGGCATGAGTAGAAATAGCCAAGCTCATGGCTTCATAGGTCTCATGGAGTCATGGTCATGGATTCAAGATCTACAATCCTTATATAGGCCATTTTTTTCATTTGAGAAAGTTTGAACAAAATGTAGTTCAAATTTCACAAGTGTGTGACATAGTTTTAGAAAGTCTATATGAGATTCAAGAATTTATGACTAGTGTTTGATAAAACTTTCTCAAATGGGAAAATAAGCTATGTAATAATTGTAGATCTTGCTGAGATGATCAAACTTGGTATTCAGAGTTTTTTCATCTGAGGTCATTTAGTGTCTCATTTGAGCAAGTTTGGGCAAGTCAAATTTGGTCAAATGAAAAAACAACACTTTGACTATAGTATTATGAACTCTAAATGACTTTAAATTGAAAAGTTTTGAATACCAAGTTTGTTCAACTCATCAAGATCTACAATTCTTGTTTTGGTCAACTTTCCATTTGAGATAGTTTGGACGGTATAAATTTGTGATTTTTAAATTTTGATGCTTACAAACTAGTTTTCGGAACCCTAGATTGTCTCAAATTGAAAAGTTTTGAATACCAAGTTTGTTCAGATCATCAAGATCTACAATCCTTATATAGGCTATTTTTTTATTTGAGAAAGTTTGAACAAAATGTAGTTCAAATTTTACAAGTGTGTGACATAGTTTCAGAAAGTCTATATGAGATTCAAGAATTTGTGACTAGTGTTTGATAAAACTTTCTCAAATGGAAAAATGAGCTATGTAACAATTGTATATATTGCTGAGATGATCAAACTTGGTATTCAGAGTTTTTTCATCTGAGGTCATTTAGTGTCT